ATGGGAGACAATGTTTTATGTGGGGTCCATGCAAAGGAGTTATCTTAAAAACAAATGGTGCTATGGTTCAGCTCTGACTTCTTGATGGAAGATAGCCACGGAAAGTTCGTCATGGAAGAAGAATAAGAAGTCGGCATGTAAAGACCTGGCATGTGATTAGGCTTCATTCATGTGTAATACTTGGAGTGTGTGATTCAGTGAGACTGTTATAGTAGTTCCTGCGATTTAGTTAGTTAGTTAGGAGAGGACCAGTGTGTGTGTAAATCAGCGATTACACTGCACTAACTGTAATTAAGAAAGAACTCATAACCAAGGTGCTAATAAATCCAATCATCTGTAGTAGAACCCATCATTTTTGTCATGCGTACCACCCTACACGTGACAATATTTTAAAACATATTTTAGGTTTTATCTGGTCTTAACATGTGCAGTGGTAAGTGGGCTTTATATTCTAAAGAAAAGTCAGTACTGATAAGCTGAACCAAAGTCTATAACCACTACTGTATTGAGAACAGATAACATAAATGATAACAAGGAAAGTCTTTCAGACTAGCAAGTATGAAGCTTCAAGTAATAGTTCACATTTTTTTGCCTCAAATTTGAGGATCTGAATGGACACATTCCCTTACCTCCTCTTCACACCTCTTCTAAATGATTCTGATGTATCAATTGCTAATGACTCATTTCAAGCCAAATTAATAGAGTTAATATAGAGGAAAACCACAAAGTGAAATAAACTCTCATCCAACGATTAGTACTGGGAAAACTTACTTAGGTACCAGTAATGCATTCTCAACAAGACTGAAAAGATACATATTTAAAGTAGCTACATAATATAACTGTTCCTTATGCACATATAAAACATCTGAAAGTCCTCAAAAACATGTCAACTGAACTCCTAAACATAAAGATTACATTATATTTAATAATAACTGAATGTACTGATCTGACTAATACAGGGAGGGTCTGGCCTTTGTTGAGTGGTTCACGGCTCTGCGCTTCACGGCAACCGGTGCCTGCCGGCTGAGAGGTACATACAAATTTTGCCAGTAAATCAATATGCCACTTGGCCAATAAAGTTCACAATGAAGTAGTTACAATCCACAGATCACAGGCTGTGTTGAAAACGCTGTCCCTCTATATGTACACAGACATTCCTCGCACTGGTGGAAGAGGTGCTGGTTTACTCTTGGAAGCTGTTCTGCAGGAATATTAGCAATTTCCCTAAGAATATTTTCCTTAAATTCTTCTTCCATTCGGGGGTTACTGCTGTAAACTTTGTCCTTCAAACAAACCCAGAAGAGAAATCACAAGGGATTCAGATTGATCTCACCTTCGATGACAGACTGCACAAGGCAACTTCAAAAATTAACCCTGCTAGCTGGATTGCGCAGCTGCAAGGCATTGATTCTGTTGTTTCATAATGTCTAAGCTTCAGCAATGGTGCTGTCATTCTTGCACTAGACTTTAACAATCCAGTCTTGAGCTAGACATTCCAGTGATTTTCTAGGTGCATGTTAAAGCCTGGCTCCTGTCATCTAACTTTTCCTCAGTACACACTTGGTGCTTATGTATTCATTTCTTGTCTGTTGAGCATCCTGTTGATTTAAGTTTATTCACCAAACTGTGAATTGTTTGTCTGCTGGGAACTCCATCACAAAATTTACATCAAAATTTTTGCCAAAGCTTTCTAGCAGATCTGTATTTCACGTAGGTGTCATACAGAAATATACACTGCCCTGAAGTATACTGCACCATGATGGAACACACTGCTCACTAAACGTAACTGAGAACAAATGGCTAATGGTGCTGATAACTGCAGCCCACTGCTGACAAATCAAACAAATTCCTATGCATGAACAGAACTGCTCACTGTGAAACATAATGCCATCAAGTTGTCCACAAAGTTAGTAGCTTTCCTTAATTCCAAATGTTATCAGCCATCAGGTATACTGATTCATTGTCAAAATCTTTAGGTGTCTCACAGCCAGCAGTGCACAGGTCACCATGAACCGGTCAACAAAGGTAAGAACCTACCAGCATGTAAGCAGTTTTATATAAAATCAACTGTCCAGAATATACATGCAGCCATGCAGTCATGTTTAACTTCACTGGCTACAACTAAAAGTCTGTTCACCTATCTGTAATAGTTTCACATATTTATTCCTTTGCTAACATCAAATATCAATACCAAACCAAAGAGAACCATATGTTCAACATTCTGAAACCTCTTTAGCTGAAAGTGAACATCATAAAAGCACAAATGAACTGTAGCATCTCAGAGAACACTATGGCTGTCTTTTGATTTGTGATACCATGTAGTCTTGGGTCACCAAAAGGACACCCTGAATATGCCTCCAAAACACTGGTATCCGCCCACATGACTAATGTCATAAATCAAAAGACCACACTCTGAATGCTTATCAACGTGAAAACTTCACCTTCTATACTGAGAGCGCATCAGTATCATAATAAAAGATCTCCTGCAACCTTATGGTTCAGACAATGGTAATGTGAAGTGGAAATAAGGAAAATGATCGAGTAACACAGGAAGCAAGCAAGAGCCAGACAGACATTAGCTGATCTGGTTCTTCCTTGTGAGATCTGAGGTCCTTACGTTGGTGGCTATCTACCAGGATGAAGCAGCACCATAGCTCAAGCAGTTAGTAGCAGGCTTCCCACAGTGGCGGCCTGGGTTCAAGCCCAGGTCTGGTCAAGTGGGATTTGTGGTGGATAAAGTGGCACTGTGGCAGGTTTTCTCCAAGTACTTCAGTTTCCCTTGCCAGTCTTCATTCCACCAAATTCTCCATCATCAGAATCAGCCGGGGCAGGAACAATAGATCAATCAGTGGCCAACGTGCTGAGTGGACCCAGCTGGACTCCACCACCCCATTATTCAAATTAATCTAAGAGGATGTGATGCCACACAGTGTGACAGAATAGTACTCATGTTCCTCTGAAATGTCAGTCTCCCACAAGACTACATAGTGTCCCACCTCCTTCTTACAGAAAGTCATTCATAACTGCTTACACAACACTCGTAAAGTTGAAATTCTTTTAAGAACTGTTTTGCAGGAAACATCTCAGACCTCTTGAAAACAGTGGTGTTCAACTGTGATGAAGGTCAAGGTGGAGGTCACTCAACTACTGCTCTTTTGCCAGACAGTCATATAACCAGGTGTCTGTGGTTCATTTTGCAGTGTTGTTAGTATTATTATTATTAATGGAGGGGGTGGGTTTCCCCATGCACCGCGACCAGTTTGATCTATTGTATGTCCCCTTGTGATATTCTACCAGTCTCTATACCCTACCAGTACTGGTGCGTGCCATCAGTCCCGACTCAGCCAGCGAGTTCGGCCTCTACTGGCTCAGCGGTATCTAGATGCTTCCCCCATTTACAATAGAGACTACTGTTGGGCGGGAAATGTCCTAACAAATTTGGCTCAGTGGTCTCCTTGAGACATGAGGTTCTTTTACATGCCGTAAAGCTACGACATGGGACCCACAGTTTAAAGTCCCTCCCGGAGGACTTGTTCCCCGAATTTTTCTGCCCTTAAAAATTCCACGACCTCCACCGGGTTTGAACCCACGTACCTTGAGTCATGAGGTGGGAATGTTACCCCTAGACTACGGAGGCCACTAGTGTTGTTAGTACCTAGACTAAAAGGCATTTATTGGCTGCATGACTCATGTATTACGTGACGGACAGAAAATGGAAGGAGGTGCTAATGGTCTAATTGAGCTATTATAGCAGCTTTTAACTATAGGAACTGAGGTAAACCATGAAAAACTTCATTCAGGACAGCCAGTGCTCCAGCTGAGCTGAACTGGGCTCCTCCTGATTACAAGTCTACACCATTATTGCTACACTAACCGGGTAAATTTCGGTCTTCTGATCTATATTTTTTACAGCATATAATTTTCATATTTTATTATGAGAGTTATCACCAAAGTGATAGTCTTTGCAATTGTTTCTTTGCATAACAAGTTTTGTTTATATGAACTCTTTGTAGAATAAAACTCCACGAAAACAAGTCCTTGAGAAGCCACCAGATTTTCAGACTAAAGAATTTCCCAACATTTAATGGAACATGAGACACATGAGCCCTCCACTGGTACCTATATAGTCCAGACCGAACTGCTACAACACAGTGACAACATTAACACAGGGAGCAGCCCATACACATATAATCATAAGAAAATCTAATATGCACCACTCCAAATAAACAACCTAATGAACACAAGTTCCATAAGACAATAGTAAGGTCAAGACCACACGACCCAACTTACGTGAGAAGATCCCAATATGCAGGCACACCACACTACAGTCGCTTCTACCACCAGAAAATCATGTCAACACGTAGAGGTCACACAGTTTTAAAGATATTTATCACAAAATATTCCATTTCCATTTTTGTACAACTTTAATTAATATGTTTTAATTTTAGTCCCTAATTTTTTACTGAAAGATTCAATTTATGCATTTAAAAACTCTCAAGAGCACAATGAGGACACTTATTGAAGAATTAGATGCAAATAATCAGATGCAATTCAACAACTGAGACTGGTATCATTGTACACCTGATGATGACTCGGTATAAGGTTCAAAACATGCAGTGTCAGTAAAAACAAATACTGATACAATAGCATCTACTTTGTTTTTAAATACAGTATATTGTTGTGCCAACTGCACACTTTTATATACATTTATATGCCTTATTTCATCCTTAATACCAATTCCTGTGCAAGCTGTCTTGGCACAAGGCAAATTTCATACATTTCAAAGCCTGATTAAATGTCATTGCATTGCAATTTTTGTATATCAAGTGCTACACACAATACCAAAGGTACTCAAGAATTTCCCAACATTCTATGGAACCTGAAGGTTCATTACCGTGTTCACAAGAGCCCTCCACTGGTCCCTATACTGAGCCAGATCAATCCAATCCATACCATACCATCCTATCTCTCAACGATCCATTTTAATATTATCCACACACCTACGTCTTGGTCCTCCCAGTTGTCTCTTTCCTTCTGGCTTTCCCACCAATATCCTATATGCATTCCTCTTCTCCCCAATTCATGCTACACCTCATCCTCCTTGACTTGGTCATTCTAGTTATAGTTGGAAAACTATTTACAATACGAGAACTTCTATACCGATTGAGCAATCGAGTCTCCTCGTTGATGCATCTTCTGGAATCATTTACGAATCCCTTGACACAACACTCAGATCGTCAGTATTCTTACCTTGATGACTCCCACATAAACAAAGGAACAAATTCTGTTGAATATACACTGCAAATGTAAATTAGTAAAAAACATAACGAAACCGAACCTGACCACATATGTGCCACCATCTTAACCACGGTTAATGACAACCAGACAATGACTAGAGACTAGACGACTAGACCTACTAGACGGGAGTAGACACGGGCGGAGGCGGCGAAGGCGACCGAGGTGACGGAGATAACAGCTGGTATAGCGGTTATGGAAAAACGCGCAGTCGTCATCTGCGCAGGCATCTCCTGAAATCTCTAAGCATCTTTCGGTAAATAGTCTGAAACGAATCACAATATACTTCACTCGATCACACATGTAATTTCTCGAGAAACTGCCAATTGTCCAGCTACTCAAGATCTTCCCAGCATTTTACGGAACGCGAAGGTTCATTACCCTGTTCACAGGTGCCCCCCACTTATTCCTGTCCTAAGCCAGAAGAATTCAATCTGTACCATCCAATTCTATCTCTCTAAGATACATTTTAATATTGTTCACCCACCTACGTCTTGGTCTTCCCAGTGGTCTCCTTCCTTTCCGGCTTTCCCATCAGTATCCTACATGCATTTGTCCTCCCCCCATCGTGCTACATGCTCTGCCCATCTCATCCACCTTGACTTGACCATTCTAAATATACTTGGAGAAGAGAAAAAGTTATGAAGATCTTCATTATACAGTTTTCTCCAACCTCCTATCACTTCGTTTCTCTTCTGTCCAAATATTCTCCTTAGCACCCTCTTTTCAAACACCCTCAGTCTATGTCTCTCTCTTAAAGACAGAGGTCAGGTTTCACACCCATACAGAACCACATAAAAAATTATAGTTTTGCGTTTTCTAATTTTTATGTCTTTAGACAGTAGACAAGAAGACAAACGGTTCTGAACTGAATGGTAGCAAGCATTACCCGAGTTCAGTCTCCTCTTAATATTGTGTAAGATATCCTATCACTAACTCTACTCGCTTAATTGCTGATATGGTTCTCTTGTGTACAAAAAAAAAAAACGCTGTACCTTATTCATGATTCTTCCCCCCTCCCTTTTCCGTTAAAAATTGTATATTCGCTTGCTTGCAGGTTCAGTGTCACCCATGTGCCATCTGACGTCCATTATTTCCATTAAATCTAACCTGTATTTTGATATTTCTTTTGCCACTGTCGTGAGAGAAATTACATTCCACGTACCAAATCACATAACTGAAGAATCCGTCAAAGTGAGAAGGGCCTTTGTGATATTTTGTAACAGAATTATTTGTTAGGGTGAAGAATGTAAGCCTCCAAAACCACCAATCTGGAGGACCACCCCTTGTTGCATGTCCTTTTCAGGTTATTCAGTATTATCCTAGCTATTCTCCACTTCTTGAGGCCTTATCCTCAGTCAGCAACCTGAAAATGCGCCATGCCCTTTCAATAAGGGATCGCGAGGGGTCCGCCTAACAATACATAATCCATGGTTGACAACTTGGTCTGTTCCATGTCAACACCACAGTTAACTTATAGATCTTATAGATGGTGTATAGGAGTAATCTGTGTTTTCAGATAACCCGTGGTCCCCGTGGTTGTCTGTGGAATTGAGTTTGTGTCATGAGCAGTGTAAATTTTCGTGTCATGATGTGGGAAGTTTGATGTCAGTAATAGGTTGTTTATTTTAAATATCGTGAAATAATAATATATTTTCAATTAAGTGAATGTTTGTAGTGGTGGTATTTGCTGGGTAGTATATATAATGAAAAACATGGTGCTTTTGTGAGCCTTTGTTGTGATGCTTATGTCTAATAGGTGAGGTTATGTCATGTTCTTTGTATCTAATAATAGGAGTGATGTTTTTGTTGCCTACAGTAGTTGTTCCACTGTTGAATAACAAATTATAGTATTATTATTCCCGTTATTTTAAATACATATATTTTAGAGTTTTTTTCATCTGTTATATAATGCCGCTGTTTTGAATCTATTTCAAACATTTCCATATACATAAAATTTGTTCTTACATTACCTGTGGATAGGTAGGTAGGACTGATTTGTGTTAGCCCAAATAACCACAACAGAAATTTTATTTTGGAGAAACTTTACACTAAGGTGACCTCCTATACTAGTCCCTGAATTTGAGTTTTATTTACTGGTATTAAAACTATACTAATGTACACAATTTCTGTTTCCTGTCCCGAAATGTGTGTCATATTAAAATTGCTGGTCTCACATAAACTATTTTCTCTTAAATAATGCAATTGGTCACTGTATTGTAAAGTTGTACTTACTTTCTCATATGTGTATAGACACTGGCAGTCTTGTCAAATTTGAGATCCTTACATCTCAGAAGTCAGGGTTCTTCATTGTCATTTTTTTATAACAGGCAATTAGAAAAGTGCAGATGTAAGGTTAAAGTCATCTGGAATGTGGTACCATATGGCCTGGTAGAAATGGTCCAGCATTTTTGAGGAATCTTCTTCTGGTATGCTCAATCTAGAACTCCTTCTGCCCTGAAGGAGGAGGCAGCTGGTTTCTCGTAAACATTGGTGTCCGTCTACGAAATTGCATGGCATTACATCTGAGAAGGCTGAGATTTTAATATTATTGTGAGACTCTCACACCTCATATATTCTAAAAAAAAGAGATTATCTAAAACTGGTAGTGTCATAAAGAAACCGATTCTTCAGATTTTGTGTTTGCCATTAGATCCTCAGTCTGCAATCTTTTAACAGTGCAGGCAAGGTTTGTTAAACTGACGGAAAAATAAAAAATGATAATTTTGTCATTTCCTTTCATAAAGCATGGTATAAAAAGGTTGATGAATTTCCAAGTGATTCTACTTGCAGTATGTGGTATGCAAGGCAAAATGACTTTAAAAGGAAAAAATGGCGTGAACATCACCATATCTGAAACTTTGAGGAAACTGTTATGTTGGCAACTCTCAGATACTGAAATATGTTAGAGTTGGCAACATCGTAGTAAACAATTTAAGAACTTGGTTATTTCTTGTTACCTAAGTGATGTTTACTGTTATGTGTTACTATGGTTATAAGTTTGTATGTATATAAGGTGTACTTCTGTGTCAAATTTCTGTGTCTTAGTAAAGCAGGAGTAGACTGAAAATAACTGAAAATAACTGAAACTGAAAATAACAGGTGTAAGAGTTGAAAGAGCTTAGGAGTGAAATATGTACCTAAACAGGTTTCTCTTCTGCTGGTGTTTATGAATGCATTGTGCATGTGCTACTTATATAAGCAAATTTAAGGTGATGTGAAGTTATTCTCTTTAATTCCTGTGTGTGAATCATGAGAAAAGTTAAGTAAATTAATTTTTTCACCATATTTTCTGTTATTACTCACTGTAAGAATGATCTGTTGTAGTTCATACTTATTTTATTAACATAACAATTTAGTGTCTGAACGTGATATCTCTATTCTCAGATTAAGAATGTCATCAGAAAAGTTACGCCAGCAGTTTGAAGGGCAGCTGTGCAAGTACACAAATGTTATGAAAGGTTGGCAGTTTCGGTGGTTTATACTGGATCCTGAAACAGGTGTACTTGACTATTATTTGGTGAGTCTGTAATAAATATAATATTGCTTGGATTATTTGTGGCTAAAATTTTCTCGGGCAATCACCCTTATCAATTTTCAACTGAACCCAAACGTTTCAGAGGCCTCTGTTACCTCCATCATCATGGTTGATGTGGTGAATGACCATGAGAGAAGTGAGCAGATATAAAGAAAGATTAGTTTGTAGTTCTGCATTTTTTAGTACATCTTGGGCAATTTGAATTGATGCTGCACTTTTGGGATCAAATGTATTCACGACATTCCTAACTGTTTCTAAATGTTCGGTATAATAACTTGCTGCACACAGCCATGTGCACCAGCGTGTTAAAATTGGTTCTGGCGGAAGTGGAGCACTTGGTGCTATTGCTTTAAAGGCTTTTCTATATGGTGCTTTAACAAATACCTTCTTCACAGAAGACACCAACTTGTCAACAAGTGGAAAATTTGCACGAATTGTTTCTGCAACACAGTGCAACCCATGGCCAAGGCAAATCAAATGTGTCATATTTGGAAATATAACTTTAAGAGAAGTACCGGCTTTCATCATATGACTTGCAGCATCAGTCACAAAGAGCAATACATGCTCATGCTGAATGCCATTAGGCCACAGTAAATTCATGGAATTGATACAAAATTCGGAAACTGCGGAGCTATTTGTCATTTCAAATTGCTCTACTGCAAGAAGATATGGGGTAGACTGATCATTCTTATTAAGGGATCCACCTATACAATTTGCAATAAACCATTCCTCACAATCTTGTGTTTCATCGATTGATACCCACACAAAATCTTGAATCTTATCCCTAAAGATTTCAATTGTAAGATTGTAATACTGCTTCATGTAATTTTTGCATCACTCCTGGTGGGGGGGGTTCTCCATTGCGCAACATGTCACACTGCTCCCTCCTTAAGGCTGTTCGTCCTGAATAGCCTAACGGTGCATCCCCGTTCCTTTGCTTCGGAGGCTGTTCTTGCAGCATCTGTTCTCCGGCCGTTACAACCACTTCCTTCTTAAGACCAACTCGTCTCGAGCGGTTTCCTTTCAGCTTGCCAGAAGATCCAGTTGTATCCCATTCATTTGTCTTACCTTCAGTCTTTCTTGGGAGGCCGTTTTTTTTTTTACATTACCGGTTCCTCCTCTACTTGAGGTCTCTTTTTCCGTTTTGGAGGGGGTGTTCCCCTCCATAAGTTCCAATCCTTGTGTTGCCATAGGCTGACAGAAGATCCGACCATTCCCTTCGCGATCTTCACGCTGACAATTTCGTAGATGGTCTTCTTACAAATTCTCCCTTCTTGGTGCTATCGCTGTCTTGATCTACACCCTCCGATGACGTCCTTGGTTGTCACCTTTTCCGTCTGATATGCGAAGGTTCCCTGAGGAGTTTCCTTCTCGAAGACATTTCTCCAACGTCGTGCCATTGTTGCGCGATGGGATGTCTTCCTGCAGGTGGCAGCCAGCTTCATCCGGGATTCATAGTCTCCTCGGGTCCAAGTTTTTCTGACGATTTTCCTTCGACGCCATGCCACTGTTGCATGGCGGAACACCTTCCTGTGAACGACGGCCAATTTATTCTGGGGTCCGCAATTTTCCCTTGTCGAAATTTTCTTATTTCGTCGATTTCGGTCCCTACGCCTTTTCTTCGTCGGTTCTCCGACCGGCATTACTTCGGCGTCTTTTACAGGTACCTCTCGTTGATCTTCCGCATCAGCTGTCATGTCCACTGAGACTGGCTTTTCATCTTCTGGACGTGCCTCCATTTCTTGGCAGGCCATCGTCTCTCCGACCGGTATCACTGTGGGGACCTCTTCTTGTTGTGCCGCCCTTGCTTGGGTTGCTTTCGTCTCCACGGAAGTCTTCTCGCCAGGCGGCCGTTTCTTCTTGCCAAGCTTTCGAGTCGGCGTCCATTCTGGCTAGGAGTTCCTTGTGGCTGATCTCCGCCTTTTCTTGACAGGAGTCTAATTTGGCCTTCAAATCTTCTTTGTCTTTCTTCCTATTTTCCTCCATCTCTTCCTTCTCTTTCCTCCTACTTTCCTCCATCTCGGCTTTCAGTCTGGCCACCATTTGCTCCTGGGCGAACAACAGACGTTCCATCACCTTTTCCATGTCCATGTTGTAGCAGTAAACTACTCGATGCACAATAATTCAATTAAATGTCGAGGCCTGTTCAAGTTCATAAAACAATTCTGACACCAAATTGTCACGTGTCTTGAGTTCGAATCTCGTTGGTCACGTGTGTAAGTCAAAATCCCACTTCTGACACTAGTGTAACGTGTTTTAGTTACTGAATACGCCGTAGAGATCGTTAATTGGTTTATTTAACAACCTACAAATCACGGCTACAATTAATTACAACAATATTGTGGGGTTTCACAATTTATAACCCTATTCGCAAATCAAATCATGCTATTGTCAGTAGACTACACGTTTCACAGTACGTGAGCTAGACAAGTCTCCCTGAATTACACACTCCAATTAATTCTCAGTTATCACAAACTGTCACTGATTATCACACTTTTACTCGTAACTCGCCGCTGGCTAGATTCCAACTCTACTCGCAGGCTGCCGCCTTGAGAACTGTTGATAACACACTCGCTCATAGGCTTGCTCGGAACTAACTCGGAACTGAACTCGGCGATGGCCACATTACAACTCTCCTCGCAGGCAGTGCAGCTCTCTTATATAGTGGCTGTGTGTGCCTGTTACGTAGCAACACTGTTACATCACGCCGTCTTATGTCACCGCGCGTTACATCACCGTGCGGAAGGGGGATGACGGAGCGTTGACTCACCCGCCGCATCACTCCTGGTGGGGGGGTTCTCCGTTGCGCAACATGTCACAATACATATATACAAACGAGTATACACTCTGGTTGCATGAAAGAAATATGCATTTGCATTCAAATCTGGTCTGTAGTAATGAGCCACTGACCAGACTGTTGGTCGCCACACATACGTGGGGCAATCCAAAAGTTACTGAAATTTGAGTTTTGCGCGCGAATGGTTATGAGTACATCGAAATACCGCTACTTGTCTCCTCACACATCCTTCTTGAATCAGTGTGGCAAGTGGCGTCGAGTTGAGTGGTTGGGTTTATTGTTGGTGAATGTATTTCCATTGTTGTGTTTCCGTGAGTTTGCGGTTTTGCGATGGCTGACCTGAGAGAGCAGCGTGTCTGTATAAAGTTTTGTTTCAAACTTGGGAAAACCACTGCAGAAACGCACCAGATGTTGAAGCAAGCTTTTGGTGAAAACAGTTTAGGCCAGACACAAACTTACAACTGGTATAAGCGTTTTAAAAATGGCCGAACTTTGACTGATGATGACGATCGTTCGGGATGGCCGTCAATGGGCAAAACACCAGAAAGTGTCACGAAAGTTAGGGATCTGATTCTGCAAGAACGTAGACTGTCCATCCAAGACCTCTGTAACACCTTGGGACTAAGTTACAGTACATGTCAATGAATTTTGTCAGAGGAACTGAACATGAGGAGGATTGTGGCAAAGTCTGTGCCATGACTGCTGCAAAATGAACAGAAGCAGCATCACTTGGAAGTCTGTAGGGAACTTCAGCAACAGCTTCAAGAGGATCCAAACTTTCTTTCGAAGGTTGTCACTGGTGACGAAAGTTGGGTTTATGGCTACAACCCTGAAAGTAAGCAGCAATCGTCGCAATGGAAGAGCCCTTCTTCACCTCGGCCAAAAACAGCTCGACAAGTCAAGGGCAATATTAAGTCCATGTTCTGTTTTTTTTTTGATATTGATGGGATCGTTCATAAGGAGTTCGTCCCTCCTGGTCAGACAGTCAATAAAGAGTTCTATCGCGATGTTGTAAGGCGTTTGAGGGAGGACGTGAGGAGAAAACGTCCAGAGAAGTGGCACACCAATGACTGGGTACTACACCATGACAACACACGACTGCATACGGCTTACATTGTGCAGGAATTTTTGGCTAAAAACAAGATGGCAGTTGTTCCCCACCCACCATACTTGCCAAACTTAGCTCCATGCGACTTTTTTCTCTTCCCAAAGATGAAAATCGACATTTTTCTCTTCCCCAAGATGAAAATCAAGTTGAAGGGATGAAAATTTGATACAGTTGAGGAAATTCAAGCGGAAACGCAGACGGTACTAAACACCCTAACAAAGAAAGACTTCCAGGATGCATTTGAAAAGTGGCAGAAACGCTGTGATCGGTGTATGTGCTCCCAAGGGGACTACTTTGAAGGTGATGGTGCAGAATAAGATCTAGGTAAGATGTAATAGTTTTTATTAATATATTTTGGGAACTTTTGGATTGCACCACGTAAATGAGTGCACTGCCCTCCAGCCTTGAAGGACCTCAGGTGTGGTAGTTCTCCTTTTGTATTCCCACAGAACACCATTCCCAGTTGATCAGTATGAAGGGGGACCCAAAAATAACCGGAACCGACCTGTTGCGCGCGCATGTTTTGTAGTTACGAGTTGTGCTGCTAGGTGGTGTTAGCTGGGGGTCTCCCGCGACTGTTAGTGAGCTGGCGTCAGTCTGAGTTAAGTGGTTTGTCTGTGGTGCTCTGTTGTGTGCGTTCCTGTTTCAACCCTTTGGCGATTAGTGAGATGGCCGACCAGAAGGAACAAAACAANGACCATTGACCAACTTTCTGAGGAAACGAACATCTCATGGAGCACGGTCCAGCGAATTTTAACCGAAGGTTTGCACATGAGACGGGTGTCTGCAAAATTTGTTCCTCGCTTGCTCGGAGATGACCAAAGAGAAAACCGCGTGAATGTTTGCCGCGACTTGAAGAGTGAAGTGCAGAACGATCCAGAATTTCTTAAAAGAATTGTGACTGGCGATGAGTCTTGGTGCTACGGGTACGATCCAGAATCGGCTGCAGTTTTCCCTAACAGAAAGCAAAATTTCACGCACACTCTTTGTTCCTTCTGGTCGGCCATCTCACTAATCGCCAAAGGGTTGAAACAGGAACGCACACAGCAGAGCACCACAGACAAACCACTTAACTCAGACTGACGACAGCTCACTAACAGTCGTGGGAGACCCCCAGCTAACACCACCTAGCAGCACAACTTGTAACTACAAAGCATGCGCGCGCAACAGGTTGGTTCCGGTTATTTTTGGGTCCCCCCTCGTATTTGATCCTGGTTGTCTTTGGTTAGCTTATTTTTTATTGCTAGTGGGGTGGGACTAAGTCCCTTGTACTGCGGCTGCTTCTGGCCTATCCACTGGAGTCCCTGGGCCCTTTTGGAGGTCTGACCCTTTCTGTAGGGGTGTGATCCTTAGGCCATGGCTTCTTACAGTTCCTGGTTGAAGTTTCTTTGTGCTTGGGTAAGCCTGCATTTCCTGCTTTCTGAGTGTCCCTCGTTCATACTTAGCTTGCCTTTGCTTTCTGTAGCTTTCCCCTAGCACATCCCGATAGCTTTGTCCTCAACAGTTGGAGCCTGCCTGTCTCAGTCTGTCTCCTTGTGCGGGTGTGATATAACTGTTAGCTCCCTGCAGCAGTATGTCAGTGCTGCCAACTCCCAAGAGAAGGGCTCTTGGTATTACATTAGGTAGGTTTTTGTACTACAGGTTCATACCTGACTTGGGCCAAAATCTCAACAGCATGTTTGCTGGTTGCATCAGCACCCCTTGATGGTGTCCTTGAGACCCCATCCACCTGCTGAAGCATTTCTTGTAAGGATCTCCTTGGAGGGGAGTAATTTTTTTTAAATCTTGTGTACTGGTTTTTTACTGTTGGTTGCCATTTATGGTCCCACAAATATTGGAGCTCTAGAAGGTCACTATATGGAAGGCATAAATACAACCGGGTGCTGCCTGATGGCCTGATAGGATCATTAACGACACTGGCTAGATTCAACCCTGATGCCACATGACCCTCGGCAGTATACCTCACACCTTGGCTTTGGTGGACCATTGCCTTGTTCACCATCTTCTCAGATGTTATCCCCCTCCCTCCATGATGATGCCAGGGTTGTCTTATGGAGGGTATACTGCAAGAGATTTGACTAATCTTTACTGTGAAGGAGGATGATGGGTATCACTGCTAGTGGCAGCTGAGGGAACTTAACTTGTGGTCAGTGAACATATGTGCATTGCAGATTTGTTTTTGAATAACTTCATAGAAGTGGTAAATTTTCATTGAAAATCTTGCTGATTGGATGAGAATTCTGGATGGTTGTCTGCTGGATAATTAGGAATTTACTCTGTATGTGTGTGCGAGTGTGCATGCATGCGTGTGTGTGAGAACTAGATCTGCTGTGATTTCTTTTAATGTTGGTAAACAACTTCAGTTCTTCCAATTGAAATTATTTCTGATTAGTGTACTCTATTTGTCTCAGAACGAGTCAGAACGGAAACAGCGTCCTCGTGGTTCAGTGCATCTAGCAGCAGCTGTTATTTCTCCTAGTGATGAAGATTCTAATACATTTACAGTGAACTCTGCTACTGGTGATATGTTTAAGTTACGAGCTGCTGATGCCCGCGCACGTCATGAGTGGGTCAGCCGTATTCGATCCGTTGCAGAAATGCATACAATGGCAATTGCACAAGTAGGTATACAGGTTGGTCCCTGCTTTTGGTGTGAGAAGCATGTGCATATGAACATAATGAAAGAAGCCAGGCTGTTAGCAGAATGTTTGAGCAGTTTTAAGTTTTGGATTCCAGTAGCACTAATCTTATGAAGCCTGGCCTGTTCCTGCAACATGGAATCTTAACAAATGAGAATTCCTTCGTAGGTTTCTCCATCTTTAATGAGCATATTGTGAGTTTCAGTCTCTAGCTGCATTGCTTACATTGATTTTCAGAGTAATCCTCCTCTTCCACCTCGCGAGCACCATGTGTCCCCCCACACTGCGGCTTCTGTGGCTGTTCCTGGCCCACAGCAAGGAACCCGAGTCCATTGTACTCTTGCGGTGCTGGATGCATTTAGTGCTGCAAGAGACCATATTCATAGGGCAGATCAAAGCAGTTACTCACTTAGTAGAGCTATTGAAGACTTACCGGGATCAGGTAATTCATTAGGCTCTCTCAGGTAACATTTGTTTCAGGAATGGCTGTCTTTAATAACTGACCATACTGTTACAATTTTGACCCAGTATAAAGATCATTATCATGAACTCAGAATTCTATATGGCATTAAGAGTCCACAGCTAACAGTTAGAAACTTTTTGTATTTATGGTTTCTTCAAATAAGTTGCTGTTTAGTGTGATACGGTGGGGTGCCCATGTTCAAGAATGTTGACATTTCTTTCAATTTTATGTGAATGCAATAATGAGCCCTTAGATTCCTTAGAGAATAGTCAATCTTTTGAATATCTGAGCAGATATTCAATTCTAAAGAAATACATATTCTTTTAGTTCTGAAATTAGGTTATAATGTGTACATCCCATTCTGGAAGCTTTTATTAGATTTAAAGTATTTGTATGTATTCATAATCATGGTGCACCATATACAAGTTCAGTTTGGAAGATTTTTCAACAGCCATTATCAGCTGACTGTAATGTATTTCTCATGGACTCAGCTTTTTCTGTACATTGATTAGCGGCTCAAGATGATGACCATCAGGGATGTGGTACCATCTAATCTGATAGCTAGGTACCAACTTTTCAGAGAACCTGCTGCATCCACCTTCAGGATAGAATACTTTACCCAGAAGATGTAGGCAACAGGTTCCTCCAAAATGTACGTATCTATATACATCAGAATACATGGCATCACCTCCCAGAAGACTGTAATCTCAATATTTACTTCCCTGAAAGCCACAGGTTTAACATGTTATTGGACACTTTAGCATCTGCAGAGGTTATTTTTTATTTTTTTCAATTGACCTAATCCTTCCAGCCGCATTATGGCCCTGGGGTCGACTCAGCCTCTAACAGAAATGAGTACCAGGAATTACTTAAATAATTTGCCTGGGGAGTAAAGTGAGGCCGGCATGTAAGGCTGATAATCTTTGAGCCAATTGTCTAGATAATGTGGGACCCTCAGTGTCTCACAACCCTATGGGCCTTCACGGCCTGTTACAGGGATAGCTTTACTTTTTATTGAATTGAATTGAATTTATAGTTTTTTCATGTCAAATTAATTTTCTTATGATAGGATGGTTGCAGATTTTGTCAATATACTGCTCTGGCACTTATCTATAGAGGCTGATGAAAACTGAAACAGTCTGAAAGTAACAGTCACCTTGGAAACGAATGGCTGTGTTATTCATGAAGATGTATATATTTTAGCGAGGAGATGCTTGGCAAGGAATTGTAATGTTGATTCAATTGATGTAAGAGGTATTCTAAGCCTTACTGACATAAGAAAGCATGCACGCTCCGCATATTGTTTAACACTGGCTAGCAAGCGGCAGAAAAATTGGTCCTAAAGAATATTTTTGCTTTATGTTTAGGCATAGTAACATGTAACTCTTTGACACAGTGACAGATAAATCAATGCCATAGGAAGGTTTAAAACCATCAGCACTTCTGTATTTCTAAACTTGAAGTTCTGTAATGTCATTGTCATTGTCATCATCACCACTGCTGCAGCCGCCGCCACCACTGACACTGCCATCATCATCATCATCATCATCATCACCATCACGTGCATATGAATCTTTTTTTCCTTTACTGGAGTCTTCTCAAGAAATCAGCAATCATTCCAATGATGGAGGCAGTAGCTGTCACCAAAACATTGGGTATCAACTCCAGTTTCATATGGCTGATCATTTGGGAAGACATTCACTGTGAAAGTTTCAACTCAAATATTTTTGTCCCTCCTCCCCCTTATCAACATCCTCAACCTTCTTCCTCTTCTCTCTTTAACTTTTCAACCTTCTTGTAGCTCATCTAGCAGCAGAGCCACTCTGTCTGTCTCTCTCTTCCCAAAGCTGCTCCTTATTCATAGTATGCTCACAGGTTCTTCCGTCTCTCTGTAGGACATCGTTTGTAACTGGTTGTTTCCTGTTAACTTGATCTTACCCTTCATGTTTAAAATGTTCTTTTTAGTCTCATGTTCAGAACATTTATTGGTAGTTTGTTGTCATTCATTTGTATTTGTGAATATCTTTGGCATTCCAAAGAATTTTGTTCCCATATAATTTTTTCTTCATTTGATATGTTTGCTGTGTTGATACTTACTTACTTACTCATGGAGCTGAGCCCGTCTTGAGAAGCTGCCAATTCTGCAGCTATTCAAGGATTTCCCAGCATTTTATGGAACCTGAAGTTTCATTACCGTGTTCACAAGAGCCCTCCACTGGTTCTTATCCTGAGCCAGATCAATCCAATCCATAACATCCCATTCTGTATCCAAGATCCATTTTAATATTGTCCACCCACCTACACCTTGGTCTTCCCAGTGGTCTCTTTCCTTCTGGCTTTCCCACCAATATCCCATACACATTCCTTGTCTCCCCTATTCATGCTACATGCCCTGACCACCTCATCCCCTCCTTGACTTGATCACTCTAATTATACTTGGAGAAGAGTACAAGTTATGAAGCTTCTCATTGTGCAGTTTTCTCCAGCCTCATGTCATTTCATCTCTCTTTGGTCCAAATATTCTCCTCAACACCCTGTTCTCAAACACCGTCAGTCTATGTTCTCCCTTAATGTCAGAGACCAAGTCTGACACCCATACATAACCACAAGCAAAATTATAGTTCTGTATATTCTAATTTGTATGTTTTTGGACAGCAGGCAAGAAGACAAAAGGTTCTGGACTGAATGGTAGCAATCATTGCCTGAGTTCAATCTGCTATTAATTTCCACCTGAATCAGGTTCTGATTTGTTATCATCATTCCCAAATATCTGAACTGTGCCACCTTTTTCAAAACATCTGTTTCCTATCGCTATATCATGATTTTGCCTTGCATTTTTGTGACAAGACAGCAACATATACTTACCTTTCCTTGTGTTTACTTCTAGACCAACCTTGTTACTTGCATCAGTTAAAGTTTATGTGTTTTTCTTTATGGTATTTATAGTATCACCCAGTAGGTTCATATCATCCGCATAGACCAACAGCTGATATGTCCCATTTAATTTCAGTCCAACCTGGTTTTCCTGGACCTTCCTAATGGCATATTCTAAAGCAAAGTTCAAAAGGAGTGGCGATAAAACATCTCCTTGTCTGAGACCATTCTGGATAGGAATTATCTATAATGACTTTAGTATACATTTCTTTTAAACATATTTTAATCAGCCTAACTAGTTTCATGGGTATTCCAAACTCTATCAGAATATTGCACAATAGTTCCCTCGCAATTAAATCATAGCCTTTGTTGAAGACTATGAATAGCTGATGTACTGTCTCATTGTGCTCCCATTTTTTCTCCACTATCTGACGAACGCAAAAGATTGGATCTGTACTTAATTTGTTATGTCGAAACCCACACTGATGATCCCCAGTAATTTCATCTAATTATGTACTTAATCTTGAGAGAAGAATAAAGGATAAAATATTGTATGAAGTTGATAGCAGTGATATCCCCCAATAATTACTACAGTCAGTTTTATCACCCTTCTTGTGAACTGGTACAATAATAGACTCCTTCCACTGATCAGGCAATTTTTCCTTATTCCAAATAAAAGTAATTAGCTTATGGATCTTTGAACATAATATTTTTCCTCCTGCTTGAATAAGTTCTGCTGGAATTTGATCACTTCCTAGTGATTTATACTGTTTCAATTTTGTAATAGCATTGTCAATCCCAAAAGGGCTAGGATCAGGTACTAATGGCTCAGCTGTATGGATTTCTGTCTGCCTAACATCACTGACCATATGTACATTCAGTAACTGACAGAAGTAGTTCTTCCACCTATTCAAAATGTTGTGGGAATCTGCAAGTAGATCGCCATTCTCATCCTTCACTAAGTTACTGCTAGGCTGGTAACTCCTCTTAAAGTAACTTATTCCTCTGTACAGGTCTCTAATGGTCTTGTTCTTACTATTCATTGCAAGTTCATTAATTTTGTCTTTCAGATATTCCCTCTTTTTATTTCTGAAATGCCTGCAGGGTTCATGTCTTATATTGTTCAGATTATCCCCATTTAACTTGCTTGGATCCTGTAAGCATTGCAATTTGGCCTGCTTTCTTTTATCTAATAATTATGAGCATACTTCATCGAACCATGGCTTATGCTTCTTTGGTTCATAATAACCTATACTCTCCTTGGCAGAAATTTTGATATTCTCTCCAATATTCCCCAAAGATTTATTAACATCCACCTCAGTGTCCAAGTTTACTAAAGTTGTGAACCTATTTCAGATTTCAACACAATACTGCTCTTGACCCTCTTTTTTTTTTTTTTTACCTTGGCACTACAGC